CCATTCGCGATGACAATCGTGACCATCTCTCTGCTCAAGTCTAGTCCTGTTTTTCAACAAGTCAGGTGTACTTCAGTGAGTGACAGGATACCCCCCACACACGCACATTATCAACATCAATCATTTCACTTCTGCAACGTCATATGTTCCAGTCGTGTCATCACGCTTATTTGCCTTTGTAGTGTTATTAAATCCGCGTGCGTACAAGAGCATCTGAGGTTAGTTTGAGTGCGTCAGATTTTTTTGTTTTCTCCTTGATTTCCTTCTTCTTCTTATTCATTGCTCAGGTGGTGTGCATGCTCTGATCGCCCTACTTCGTTGCGAACAAACACTCTGGTCTGATCCGATGCTCCATGCTCTCCGAACAAATCAATCGGATTACACCCAGCCGCCCGGTCCGCGTCCGAATCCGGTCAACGCACCACCACCACCACCTGCCACAAATGTGTCCGGCACTCGTCCCGGGGCGGAACATCTGCTCGAGACCAGCCTCGCGTTGCGTCGATACATTTGCATGGCATTGACCAACCTGACATATGGGGTTGCTGCGAACAAGGCATTACTGTGTCGTCGATTGGCTAATTTAGAAGCGCTCCTCGCTCAAATGGAAATCGGCAATGAAGAGTTGAAACAGGTGAGTGATTTGTATTGTGAACAGCAGATTTTTCCCTTTTCACTGCTTTCTTTCCCAGACTTGTTCCAATGGCAATTGAAAGTTTTGGGTCCAATCATCTTTGTCAACCTTATCTTCAGATAAATTTCCGAAAATTTATTCATGAATCCCTTTACTCAACAATTGAGGAATTGAGATAACTGATCAGTGAATCGACGGATCCCTGTATAGTTCTCGATGGCCCTTAGGGAATGGTCCTGTGTGCCTCTTTTAATGCTTCTGATCGAGCGATTTCACTTATGCATCAGAACTCATTACTTCCCTTCAACACTGTCTCTGCTTCCACAGGTTTCAGCCAGTGTATTGCGTAATCTGAGTTGGCGAACGGACGCTCGAAGCAAGGTGGCCTTGCGGCGTGTGAATGCACCACGACGCTTGACCCTGGCCGCAATGACCTCGCATCGGGACAGCACATTACGAACCACTTTGAGCGCATTGTGGAATCTAAGTGCTCATTGTGCCCACAACAAGCGCGCCGTGTGCAGGTACGTTCGAGTGTGCGCCTATGACGTATTCATAAGTATTGCGTTGACCCCAGCTTTTGACGAAATCCTAAGGGATTGGAGTTAAAAATTGATGGTGTTCATGTGCGCGCAAAAAAGCAACACTAAATTCACTGGTATTCGTCAACAGTCGAGGATGATTGTGGATAATGAGCGTGGGACCGGGACTGAGAAGAGTGCTTACTGCTGAAACCACTCAGGTAACTTCAATGGATGCAGTGAGTAAGGGAAAACAGAATCACCATGTGCTAGTTGAATAATTGGATCGATTACTATACGAGTTAAGGTCGAGTTTGCCCCTGTGAACCAGTCAAAGCCATGGAAATCGATAGGTGACACACAATAAGAACTGACTAAGTGTGCCAAAAGTCATTTGTGGTAAACTTCAAACGTTTTCAGCTTCGTCTCTTCCAGCCATCATCAGCCTTGCACCATCGTGGGTTGGTCTAGGTACTTATCTTTTGGGCTTCCATTTTGGTTGACCGGTGAGAACGGAATAAGTCAGACCTCTACACTGAGAACACTATCAAATAAAAGATACGAATTAAAAGTAGCCGGTATCTGTCACACGGGTTTCTACAGCACTACAGCACTTATCCTACATCATTCAGTGTCTCCAATCATTAGTTGGGTCACTCACGAGGTATCAAACCGGGAAGTCTAGTGTGACCACGCGCCCTGGTTAGAATTCTTATACCTTCTCTTTTTGTGATCCCTCTCAATTTTGTTTCACCCTCTATCTGTCTGGGCAAGCATCGCACGCTTAAGAATTTTCTCCGGTTGCATGGGTAGCGTATGCATCTGGCACTATAATATAATCGTGGGAACTTCTCAACGGATTGTGCTTGTGAACAAGTTGATTGCACAATTGTAGTGTGTGCGGGAAGAGGTGTGAGTGTTAAAGTGATTTCAATAACAGATCGGTACGTTTCGGTGTATCCCTCCGTATTGAATAGCTTTATATGACATAGGGCGGTTTTATTTGGTCATTCTGTGGGTTAAAGGCAAACCTCGATGGAACTTAAATAAGATCACACCAACTAGCAACAACTGCATTCCTTTGTTGCTGTCAAACTACTTCTCTCCCCCTCACCTCCACAGGGTCGGTTTCGCTCAGATCTATTCGGTAGGTCTTGTTAAAAAAATGTTTATCTCACCCTTGGTGTTCGTTTTCCCCAAGTTAAACGACAGTCGTGTTCTTCTATGCCCAGCTGCACCTATACAAAAGGATGATAATATATGCCTCCGGTCTTTGTGACGATTGTTGTATTTTCCCTCCACGGGCCACCCACTTGAAACATCCCGGTAAACGTATACACTGATAGTTTAGACAGCAAACCGCGCTCGTTCGTTTGGATACACAAGTGGGGGTAAAGGAGGTATGCTTTGCAGTGTATTTATGCTTCATTTATGGCGGATGATGATCGCTTTTTTACTGACCAACCACCATTGCATCCGTCACCCGATTTTAGAAATTTGTATGTATATGTATCTGGAAATGTCCCAAACCATGCACTGCTGCTTCCTAGATCGATCTAGCAGAGCGACCGTGACATATGGGGAGATTCGTGTGACCAAGCACAAGATGTGATGCTCCCCAAGATGGAAGTACCCACTCGAATGATGACTCACGTGCGCTGGAATTCATTGTTCGAGCTGAAACGCTTATGTTTTATCCCTCATGGTATCTGCTATTTTAAAAATGACCCATCCGTTGCGGGGGACACTTTGATTGGACAGTATGATAAATACCTCGGCGGCGTTTTTTAACTTCCCTATTTTGATCGAATTCGATCGACTTGTTAACTTCGTTCTGTTTGTGTTCGGTTGCTGTTGTTGTGGTGGTGGTTTGGGTGTCTGTATCCGCTGCCTCTAATGCACCACCACATCAAACCGCCTGTGTATTCACTATCCATCCATAGCTGGACACAGAACCGTGAACCGG